TCCTCCTCATCGTTGCCAATATTGACCTTTTTCCTCCCTCCGCCGGTAAGCTGCTGAAGGGCTACCTTGTTAACTTGACCCCCTACCTTGCGCTGCATCTTTTCGATCTCTTCTTCAGCATCAATGGCCTCAGCTTCAGCAAAGTCTAATACTAGCCGGCGCCCGAGAAGATGGGTGTCTTTCAAAGCATTTAGTGCATTCTCCGCTTCACGGGGTGTCACAAAGTCGGCAAATGCAAAGCCTCTTGCCGTGTAGTCAGCCTTCTTTGGGACGCGGACCGATCTGAGCTGGCCGTAAGTTCCGAGCAGCGACCGCACATCCTTCTTGGTGGCTTGGAAAGGCAGGTTCTTGATGACAATCTTTGTCCTCTTTGCTGCTGCCTTCTTGGCCCGATCTTCTCGCCGTCTTTCTTCGGCTGCGTCATGTCCCTTGTGGGATGCCTTCACGCCCAGAGTGTGACCATCTAGCACGTATTCATCCATGACTTTGAGTGCTGCCTGGGCCTGCTCCTTGGATCGAAATTCCGCGAAACCAAACCCCATGCTGAGCGTTTGACCGGGCTTTTTGGGATCCGTCTTGGTCTTGACTCTAGCCGATACGAATCCGTCGAGAGCCTCGAAAGCTTCGGCCAGCCGACCCGTAGTGGTGGCGAAGTTTAAATTGCGGATAAAGAGAGAGGTCGTTTCCACCTCTTCCGCCTTATCGCCGCTTGACAGCAGCTCACTAACGCTAAGTCCCCGCACCCCAGTCGCTTGCTGATCGACCAACAGACTGGTTTGCTCCGAGCTATCCCCTCTGAACAAGTCTCTAGGTCCTTTTTCTAGGAAGAGCACACTGTCCTTGATTCGTCTGTAGGCGAGCTTACCAAATGCGGATTTTGCCTGATTTACTTGCGCAAACTGCACAATAGCGATCGTTGCACTGGGAGGCATCAAAACTTTGAGCACCTGGCCGTGCTCCTCAAATATTTTTCGGATCTCCTCTATCGTAGTCCCATACGGGAAGTTTTTCACCAGTATGGTGGTGTCTCCCCGCCTCTGAGACTTGAAAGCATCCAGATCCACACCGTTAGCGGCGAAAAAAGCCTTGGTTTCCTGGATGACAGTCGTCTCTGCGATGGCTTGCTTGATGGCAGCATCAGCCGATGTAGGATCAAGCAGCTCGGATTTTGAGACACCCAACCGGTTGGCCACAGATGCGTTGACGGCATCCTGATTCATGTAGAGGGAGTTCCAATTGAAATTGTTTGACGCGGCCTCTGCTTTCTTACGTATCATGTTTTGCTTCTTCAGAGGTAGCTTGGAGATCCCATATTCATCCAATCCCTGCTCTCGTTTTGGGTTGGCTGGAATGATGTGAATGATACGCCCCTGAAACGTTGCCCCATCCAGTGCTTGGAATGCTTTCAGGGCGCAGGACGGGTCTACAAAGTGAATCAGAGCAAATCCCTTTGTTGACCCCGAAACTGTAACGGGAAGATGGACCTGAACTCAGAATGTCAGTCATCGTGCTGTTCTCTACAGACAGCCGTCGGAGAAAGGACAAAATATTTTGAAAAGTTAAGGCATGAGCTCAGACAATCGAAGCATCTACTAAAATTATTCGCCCAGGTTCACATCATATACCGTAGTATAAGCTGTCCCTATCTTGGGGTTCATCATTGCGCCTGTACAACGGGAATATGGTGGGATATAGTGGTGGTGTATGCAGTAGACATTGGCGTGGTAACGTACCTCTTCGAGAGCACCAAACTTGTCAAACGCTTCTCGCAAATCGTCTTCTGTGGCGCTATACGGCAAATTACGGACGAAAAGCCGAGACGTGCGAGAGATAGTTTCGACGGCATCTTCCTCTGCCAACTCCTTACTCGTCTCCGCCTGCTCAGTCATGTCTGGTGTCACCACATCTGTGGAATGCGATGTTTGTCCGTCAATTCTGGTGTCTTGCTCGGACTTATCTTCGACCAGGCTAGGCACCGCCCCAGGAACAAGGTCACTAGGTTCAACTAGATCTAGCAGCCTGTTGGTCCGCGATCGTAGCCAATCGTCATCCGTCGCCCGAGTCGCCGGTGGTCCATCATCAGTCATGTCTGAACCAACTTGCTCAGTTTTGCCCTTGGTAGTGTTCACGGGTGTGCCATCGTCTTGATTCCTCTCTCCCTTCATTGGTGGCTTTGCGGCAGCCGCCTCTGATTTGTGTTGATGGTTATCTATTTTTCTCGACTTTTCATTTCTCAATGGGATTTGTTCATACTCGTCATCACTCTCGTCTTCTGGAACAGTAAGCTGCCCAGGTCGAGAAACTTGGTCTGCTCCGACAGTGGGATTTGTTTCATCTGCAATGACACCTTCCCTTCCAGACCTCATGACCTGCAAGAATTCCCGCAGCTTCGGATCTGATGTATTTGGTTCTTCTCGCTTCCGCTTCTTCGGGTTCGTGTCCTCTTTGTCAGATCTCATCTCCGAGGCGCTCTGGCCACCTGACGCAGCGGAAGAGTGGGAAGCATTGTGTCCTTTGCTCGAGGCTGGGTCTGAGATCTAGCATTCCATTAGCAGCCAGTAAGCAGGGCAAAAAGTGAAGCAAGAACCTACAGGTCGTGCCGCCTCGACCGACAACTTAGACATGCGGATATATGACCTGTTGAAGTACTTGACAGCACTTGTCGCATCATCTTGGCTCTTGTAGCCTACGTAGCCGATCCGACGCTGAGCTATCAATTTGACATCGGTGATCTCGCGGTTCTTCGCAGAGAAGTGTTTGCGAAACTCTGTCTCTGTGATATTAGGGGGCAGGCCCTTGACAAATATTCGTGACGTAGCCATGATTCAGGGGGAGAGTTCGTGCGTTCGGAAGAATAAATCAGTCCATGGTCGTTGAATCTGCCCGCAGACTCTTAGATGTGGCAAGGGGGGATTGTATGCGAAGAAAAAAAAAAAGAGAAAAAGTCGGAGGGTCCTTATTACCATGTCGCCCAGGACTGGTCCGTGCACGACTAAATTTTACACCCAGGTATATGGAGAGACTACCCTAGAGAAGGTCTACTCAAACTTGAGTTGCCCGAGGTTAGTACAAATTTCGCTTCATCATAAGTCCAACGGGGTGTTCAATCCCGATATTGTGCGATACATGGTCAGTAATGGTACACGCTGTGTTTAAACAACATTATATGCGACGTTTCTGCACGTCTTTACAACTTTCCGGCACAAAACTGGAGACCTGGGAATCCCCTTCCAATTTTCATCACAGCCGCCGAGGATTCATGCTATTGATCGATGATCCATACTAGAAGGGCTCAGCCCATGCCAGTCGAGTACTCCGCCTGAATGCATCAAGGAATTGCTCTGGAAATTTGCATGGCAGCCCTCTTAAAGCATGACGGCTAGGCATTCTCTGCAATAGCTAATGTGGATGGTGAGTTGGCGTCGAATCCTCGTGGTTCATTCAGGACCCTGTCGAAATGGGGTCGTCGGAAGCCATATGGGCTTTAATTCCTGGGATTGCGTCACAGCCCGATTCCTTTGGACTACAATACCAGTTCTGACGAGGTATAGCTAGCAATGATAGTAAGCGCTGTCATATCAGGAAATAAAGCACGCTGGCTTGGATTTTCATTGAGAGAATAAGACAAACGTAATATCTAATTTTTTGAGGCATGGGAATGTCATCGGCCTACGCTCTGCTAGAGACATCCCATCTGTACTCTTGCGCCGCAGGTCTCGTTTCTTGCAGATAGCTGCCTCGGTAATGAAATTGATGTTTTTGAGAAATATTTAGCAAGCTCAATCCAGTCTCTTCTATGCAGGAGCCGTGCCACCGAAATCAAGGCTCGGGTCCTAATAGAATTCCTCGCAGTGAGAATTAATTATAAGCTCTATATACACAAATAGCGGGGGATTAATCTATCACAGCAATCGGTGAGATGGCCGAGTTGGTTATGGCGTAAGATTAAGGTGTATCCCTCATTTCTTATGGAGCAATCCGCCTGGGTTCGAGTCCCAGTCTCATCAATCATTTCCTTTTGTCAAAATGTTAAGCATTCTCGTTTTTTGAATTGCAGCCCGGTGGGCAGAATACCACCCCCCACACACAGCATGGGGCTGGCATCGCGACCAGACAGGTTGAAGTCACGTGTTACTTGAGATTTGCCCTGTAGGCTGTTGCGCACCGGACGGTATCGCAGATTTTTGTTATTGTTTAACTTATTATATTTTTGTAGTTAACGGTAGTGGCGAGCTTGACTGGTGCCATTGCATCGTGTTGCTAGTCGATTGATTCACCCGCTCTGCATATATACTCCGTACGGTCGTTCAGTCAGGTGTGGACCGCGTCAAACCCTGTTGTCAACTCCTCTATCAAAAATGATGATTGTTATAGGGGTACTGCTTGCCGTGCACAAGGTCTTGCTTGCACTCGCACGAAAATGCAACATCATACAATATCATACAATTTTCGGTTGCACCTATAGTAGCAATAAAGTAAACATTAATACTACTGAAGTGATATTGACCATAAGCAGATTCTAATATAAAATCTTTACTGTAGAAACCTGTCATGAAAGGGAAAGTGCCGAAGAATAAATAGGTGGTAGTTGTTGGTTGCGTGTGATTAATGCTATTGTTAGCTGCTATTCTTCGTCCCCTAGGCTGATTTTGGTTTGAGGCTAAGCTAAAATGTGTTGGAAGGGTTAAGACAAAAGCTGTTAACATGCTAGAAGTGATCTCAAGAGCTTATCAGCTATTCTACGCCGTCCTAGGAGAACTTTAAGATTTGATTGACATCTGCGAAGAGGGAAATAAACGATGCGAGAATAATAGCCCTGAGGCTGCTAGGCTAAAAGATTTTGGAAGAGCCTTGTTGTCTCACTGCAATAGAGACATCATTAGTTTTATCTATCTTGGGAGCTTTCGTTCCTATCTTTATCGGGTTATTTTGGCTGCTCTTACCCGTGCCGTTACTCTGCTATTTTATTAGCGAATTAGCAAAAAGGCAATAATGCATTTTGATGAGACTGGGACTCGAACCCAGGCGGATTGCTCCATAAGAAATAAGACTAATGCACACCTTAATCTTACGCCATAACCAACTCGGCCATCTCACCGCAGATGATTGGTGCGAGGCTGTGAGAAATATTGTCATAATAATTTTGAAACAAAGATTGAAACTAACAGGCGCACCGCGATAATACACAGAGCGACATCACTGGCGTGGCGGACTAAAGAGGCATACGTCTAATGTTGTCAATGGTGAACAAATGTTTTTTCCACAAGAATGCCTGCAATGCAGCAGAAAGCGTCTTTTCGTAGGATCTAGTTGTACTAAAAAGTAGGCGGGTGACCTAACGATTTTTACCGTTCTCTAAACACATCCCATTGATGTTGATCCCTGTTAGTCATTAGTCTGCTTCCTATGCAAATTAGCTGAGGAGAACCCTTGGTCAAGGCTTGCAACGTTCAAAGAGTACAAATGTTGAAATTGTTATTCATTGGGCGTGCCACTTGCAAGCAGTGGCAGTTCTGATTCACCATGTACAAATTCCGAATGCGCGTACAGCTGCTAAGCAGTCTCCTCTCTTCTCACATACTCCACGACTTTTTTCTTCTAAAGTCTGCTCACTCAACTCAGCTATATACTATTCAAACGTTGAATTGGGTTCTTCCCCTAATAGTTCCTCAATCGCCTGTAACTACAACGGTTTTGAAACTCGGCAGAAGATTGACTGACAGTACGGAAGACAACTCGAACAAACCACATGTAGAAGCTCGGCTCCACTTTTCAACTTTGCGTTCCCATATTACCAGAAGCACCATGCGAAAACCGGACACCTTACAATGACCATCGTCTCAGCACTCGACCTGCCCCAAACCTTCCAAAAACCATCATTTTCCATACTTCTCACTACTCTCCGAAGTCTTGAACTTTCACCACCAATATGGAACCACTGCCAGCGGCGGTCCGAGGCCTTCGCCGAGCAGGAATCCCGTGCTTCTCTGCGCAAAGCTGAAATCACGCAGTACATATCCACGATTATCAAGAGCCCGCTATCCTGGATTGAAGATGACGAGCAGAAGGAGATTATTTGGGAACTCGCCAGTAAGCGCATGTCGGAGCGGTGCGGACGAACAGCCATGGGGGAACTGATTAGGAAGTGGCCCTTTGACGGTGTTGATGGGGCAGGTGGCCAAGAACCCTTTGAGCTGGTCATCAGGGAGCCGGCATTGACGGGAGACTCGTTGGGGTTCAAGACCTGGGGGTCTTCTTATGTTCTCGCGCGACACTTGCCCAAATTGAGAACGACGTCGTTGCTAAGGTTATTCGACCAGTCGTTGGCTCGAGAGGCGCCCAGTGTTGTGGAATTGGGCTCTGGAACCGGGTTGTTGGGGATGGCGGCCGCAGCGTTGTGGAAGGTGCATGTTTCTTTGAGCGACTTGCCCAATATTATGGATAATCTAAAGAGCAACGTGATGAGGAATAGGGACGTGATCGAAGAAAGGGGAGGGGGGTTGAGTGCTGGTCCTTTGACCTGGGGTGGAAGTGAGGAGGAGGTAGATCAGGGATTGTTTGGGAGGCACCATCGGTTCAAGGTACGCTTATACTCGATTCACCTTCTATTCTACTACTCCAACTCGCCATCTCGTATGCGGCGTGAATAACTAAAAAAGAGGGTTCGTTGTTTTCGAAGGCTGATGTCCGTCACAGATTGTCTTGGCAGCAGACCCGATGTACGATGATGACCACCCCGCTCTCTTGGCGTCAGCTATCAGTCAACAGTTAGCCCTGGGTGCGGAGTCTCGAGCTGTGGTGATGGTGCCGCAACGCGATGCAACTACGGTGAGACTCTTGTACGCATTCAGGAAGGCTATGCTGGATCTGGATGAACCTCTTTCGTGTGTTGAAGAGGATGAGCTGGCCGGCCAGGATGACTGGGTTGAGGATGATGAAGGCGGCAATGTTCGATGTTGGTTGGGGTTGTTCTCAAGAGGCAGTTCGTGACCTCTAGCCCGAATGCGACAATCACTATCGGCCCTCCATTCGTCCGATCAACTTGGCCCTCCCACCAGATTTCGAAAAGTCCATCACAGCTGTTGGCCTCAATTTGCCATGCTCTGCTCCTGCTTGCACAATCATCTTATCTCCCATTCACTGATGGTCCACGCGCTAGGCTGCCTGAATACGTTTTCCAAAGTTGACCGTCGCACATGTCCCCATGGTCCCAACAATCACCCCCCCAAAGTGTGTCATAGCCACGCAACTCAATCACAAACTATCGTCAGATGGACTGATTGCCAGGGAAAACTGTGTCCAGATCTAGTCTTCCCCAACGAATAGTGTTATCCCCCATTACGCGTCTCCAAGGATGGTGATTATGTGCATGGCTTCGCACCCAGCTATTTCTATGTGCTGCCCGCCCTTCACAATGTCTACTGAGCATAGCGACAGACTCATTCTCTCCAAGTCAGAGAAGAAGAAAAACAACCTCTTTGAATTTGATCTGATCACTTCAATATTATCTTTCACAATCTTCGAGTTGGTGTTTGCTGTCACGCCTTTTGTTTTGTCCTCACAAACAACAAACAATAGCAACCGCAACTCGGCCCATTTCCAACACAGAAAGTCTCTTGTATCAGCAACAGTCTTTTTCCAACAAATATTTCAAAATATTTCCCTTCCTCTTTCACAATATTGTGGGAGAGAATCGGACACTAAGACAGGGTCATTACACTTTTTGAGCGGAACAAAAGTCTTGCGTGCGATCGTCGACAATGGCTGGTGCTCAGCAGTACAAGGACGTCGAGATTCTCTTCGTCTTGAAGGCCATTCTGCGCGGCTTGTCTCTTCGATGGATTATAACAATGTTCGAAAGACGCTTTGGCCGCAGATTGACAGAAAATCAAGTTCGGTATATCAAGAACAAGTATGGGAGAGATCCTCGATTTGGGTAAGCCTACTTCACTTGGGTCTTGAAATCAGGCGTACACAGTCAAACAAAACAACGCATGACGACTTATTCGAGGGAATCTGATTAATGGACGGCCTATTCGTGTGGCTACTAGATAAGACTAACACATTTTCTCCCCAGCACTCCAGTGGCGAACACGCAAAATTTTGGCATCAGTAGCAGCAGCAATGACTGGCCCGAAAATGATGGCATCCTCGAAATTGATTTCGCCCAGTTTGAGAGGCAAGGCGCTCAAGTTCCGCAACCTAACCTCCGCGTTTCCAACCTTCGGCGCACAGCATCACAGTCAACTCCTGCTTCTGCGTCGGCTGGTCGACCGATCCGTCCACCGAGAAACTGCCCTGGCCCTCTGATCAGAGGTGGCGATACCCTCCAGGGTACGCCTTACAGCCGTGCACCTGTCGCTGGACGGACACGCACGCAAGATGGCGATGACGATGGCGATGATGACGATGAGCTGACTGGAAGGTCTGTTGGTCCCTCCCCACGACGACGTGGAGAACGAAGAGACTAACAACTCTCTGACTTTCCGCTCAGCTTGGATCCGCACATCGACCATTCGCCTCTCTTGGAGACATCGACGAATGTAGAGCCATACTTCTTCGAATGGGATGAGCACGATGTGCAATTTTCCGAGACCGATCCCACTTTACAGCAAGATTATCTTCAGCCTCTCCCAGAAAATGCTCTGATACCCCACATAGATCGTTACAACTTACTTCTTGATTCCGAGATTCCAGGCTGGGTCGACGTGTTTCAAAGATCCGATCTATTCGATAGATATGAGCCGCTCATGGAGCAAGATCTTCGAACGGACATGATCAACGCGAGCTCCACCAACCTCGCCAATACAGCATACCAGCAGATCGCAACCAGTGTCACCGCAAGCCATCAGCATGTGAATCAACAAGCACCGTCGATAATTCATGGCAACTCGCTTCAACTTCCAGAAGTAACATGCCACGAGAATGGCGCTCAACGGGCCATTCAAGCAAGCAACAATAGTATTGTGAAACCTGAACTTGGCCACTATGACGACACCGTCGGATCAGAAGAGCCCACGGAGCCGCAGCGAAATGGGCAAACAGACCCAGTGCTCCTTATGCCTCCCAGTTTCGTGGACTCCAACCTACAACTCATGCAGACGTGGCAAGCACACATGGCAAGCACACCTGACTCTATATCAGAAATTGCCCCGGACTATTGTCCACAGAATACAGTATGGACACGCGCAACCTCAGAAGATACATGGACACCTGGCAATGGCGACACCCGCATGTGGACCACCGTCGAGGCTACAACTTCGTCGTCTATGCGCTTGTCTCTTGCGGAGGGACGGGATGCTGCAGGGTCATGGGACCATGAGCCCTCGTACGAAGGATTCAACTACTTCGATGAGGGCTGAGGAGTTGAGCGAAAGAGCTATAGAAATATTCTTCTCTGGAAATAGTGCGGCGCTGATGTAAAGAAGGTGTTGGGCGAGTTTTCTGGGTTACAGCGTCATGAGTGCTGTTGTTGCAGGAGTCGCACAGTTATCTACTAATTGGTGTTTGGGATTGCAGATCTGACCTGCACCATGCAGGAGCGTAATAAAACGGATTGATATCACGTACAAAACATTGAAGTAAAGCAAAGGACGAGGAAACGTGGAAGAAGAAGAAAAGATACTTTTACGATCCGCGAATGAGGAACGCAAGATGCAATCTATTCCATAGGGCGAATACATTGAGAGGCAAAGCACATGACTTTTTATGAGGGACCACCAGCGTATTACTGGCTGCATGATATCTGGGCAATCTTTATATGCTAGGAAAATTTCTTAGAAAGATAGATGAACATATGTGAACATCTACGGAGCAGCCAGAGATTGCATTTATCCTAGAAATAATATACGTAGAACGGCGTTGATGCGGCAAGAGTGACCGGGGAGGCGGGGAAACTTGAGGAACAGACAACCGCCAACCGCGCCCCTGCCTGAACACGCTTGCTGTTGCTTTGTTCACGGATTACTCATGACTCAAAACAGCCGATCCCCGGCTTCCTCATCTTCCATCGCCATTTTGCTCAGTGCTCACTGTTCAGTGCTCACCCAGACAAACGTGACTGACGAACTGTCTGGTCTGCCAGTCAGAGTCATACGT